TTATGCTTCCCACCTTAACCTAGCGCAGACGCCCCATCGCTTTCTCGAAGACATGGCACCAGCATTGGCATAACCATACCCATACGCTTATCTCCTAGGCTAGATGAAAACGTGACGAAAGAAGACAAGAGCACCGAAGAAACCCATATGCTGGTTGGCGCAAGGCTTCGCTTCTATCAGCGGAAGCTTTACCTCGCCCAGCAGCATGGCACATTTTGGCATCTCATCCCAACCTTGTAAACATTCCACCGTTAATGACCCGCTGTTTTCCGTTCCCCTTGGCATGGGCTGTTTGTCAGAAGGAATCACCTGGCGATCCTTCCACGCACATACACACACCAACACATCGAGGCGTAGTAGGATCTCTCGATAATTACAGAACAGTCGAGGATGCGGCTTGGCAGGGTGGCAATGGCGGCTGCTTATCTCTCCTCGCCCCTCATACAGCAGTAGACTTCACGAGGAAAGCTTCTGGAATCTTGATGTAGGTGTTGAATCGAACGATGCACACGCGGTGGGATAACCGAGTCATTTTGTTGGTGTATCAGCATATTGTCGAGACACACTCATTGGCGCAGCATGCAGTTGTTGCCGGGAACCGAAAGCATATCAGAATGCCAAGATAGGGCCAGCAGCCTGCGCATGCCCCGCCCGGGAATAGGTACGTACCTGGACAGACGCGGTTATTCCTGGGTAGTAGAGCCGCTGGATACCAGCCACCGGGTAGTGGGAGCGACGCTTGATGCCTAGAGTCCATGCTCTTGCGTATGTAGCACCAACGCTCACACATGTTGCGCGACCATGTCAGTTCGGATAGTATGATCGTTAGCCAAGTATATCGATAACCATGAGCTACTAAAATTACTCGGATATCAGGAGCGCATACCACTACTCCGCACAGCTATCAAGGTTGACAACCTTATCCGGTGGGCTAGGTAGGTGCAGATGGACTTTGATCTTTCCCATACATCGGTAGTATGCATGCTGGGAGGCCTGTAGCTTGCAAGGTACCACTTTGGCTCGAAACTAGTATACGACTTCAATCACGATGCTGGAAGATGGACCCACCAGGTAGAGGAACTCGTGAATCCACAACTCAAGACACAGGCGCAAATTCACTGTAGTGTTTGGGAAAGTAGAATTTGTTAATAATATATTATCATTAATCGTTCATCAATGGGTATTCATTAATGCTACAAGAGCAAAGCCGCCTTCGCAACTTTCCCTTGTTCCACCAGTCGCACAAAGATAACCATCTTAGTTACCGATTGGCAGGTCGTCCAAAGGCTCACCCTTGGACCAGTGGTTGATCCAGTTGAAGATCTCAGTGTGCCAGAACAAGCTGTTCTCCTGCTTGAGCACCCAGTGGTTCTCGTCAGGGAAGTTGAGGAACCTAGATGGGATACCGCGGGCTTGGAGGATGTTGAACAAGCTCAGACCGTCGCTCTCAGGCAGGCGGTAGTCAAGAGTGTTGTGGATGACAAACTGTGGAGTGGACCAGTTGGCAATGTGGTTCTGGGGGTTCCACTCGCGGTACGCGCCAGAGTCCCAGATGCTGCCGTTGTAGTCGTGGCGGATGAACCAGAGTTCCTCAGAAGCCCATGCTCCCTCAGTGTTGGAAATACCGTCGTGGGTGACAAGGCACTTGAACTCGTTGCCGAGGTCGTTAGCCTGGATCCAGTTGGTCATGTAACCACCGTAAGAAGCACCGGCCGCGATACCGTTCTTGGTGTCGATCCATGGCATGCTGGTGTTGACATAATTCCAAGCGTTAACCAAATCGTGGTATGGCCAGTTACCCCATTGGCCCTGGATAGAGTCGGTAAGGAACTGTCCGAAACCGGTAGATCCAGTTGGGTTGGGGGCGACGATGATGTAGCCCTGGTCAGCCCAGACCTGAGGGTTCCAGCGGTTGGACCAGCTGTTGCCCCAGTTACCTTGGGGACCACCGTGAATGTAGAAGGCGAGCGGGTACGTTACGTTCTCCTGGTAGAAGGTGGGCTTGACGACGTAGGCGTGGAGCTGTTGCTTGAGCTCGGGGTTGGAGCCGTTGAAAAAGATCTCGGAAACGGTGTGCGATCCGAGACCAGCAAGGTTGGGGTCAACCTGAGACGCGTCGAGGAGAGTGGTCTTCTTTCCGTCAGCGAGGATGTACCACTCGTTGGGAGTCCAGATGGCGGTGGCGGCGACAAACAGCGAACCGTCGGGAAGGAGCGCGAAAGTCGAGACAGAGGTGTTGGAGGTCATGGGCTCAGGAACGAAGCTCTCGTCAGCGGTAATGGGGAAGTTGAAGATCTTGACGCGAGCGTAGTCATCGGCTGTGGCGTAGATGGACGAGTCGTCGTGAGCCCAGGTAATGGGTCCCTGAACCCAGCGGTCGAAACCAGCACTCAAAGACTTCCAGTTGCTGACAGCGACACCAGTACCTTCGACAGCAACGTCGACGGTGTACAGAATCCACCTGTCGGACTCGTAGTAGTCCTCGTCCTGCTGCACGTAGGCGAGCTTGCTGCTGTCGGTGGAGAAGGAAGGAAGACCAGAAGCACCCTGGTGGCCAGCCTTAGCGGCCTCGGAGTCGGGACCGTTGAAAGCGACGGGAGCGTCAGAAGACGCAAAAGCACCAACATAGGTGTATGAGGCAGTGTAGTTGGCCTTGTTGAGCTGAGGAGCCTTGCTCACGAAAGCGTACATGGAACCATCAGGGCTGATGTCGTAGTCGCTGGAGTCACCAAACGGCTGGATGGGAGTCTCGGGCTGAGTGGTGGTGAAGTTGATGCCCTTTTGCACATTCCTCATTCCAGCACCGGACAGGGCGTAGCTGGCGTTTGCGGAAAGGGTTCCGGCAAAGAGGTTGTAGCGGTTCTTGGTTAGCCAAGTGTCCCAATGACGGACGTAGATGTCCGAGTAGTAGCGAGCAGTAGTCACTGGGGTGACTTCAGTCTCTGGGTTGACAGCTGTGCCGTTGGGGTAAGCCATGCAGTTGACCAAGAAATGCATGTCTCCGGTCGAGGTCTTTGCAACCTTGAGACCGTTGTATGGCGCATCCAGAGAAGCGACCATAGTGCTCATGTTGGGGCTCTTGATATCACCAATCCACAGAGTGACACCACCTGGGACCTCCTCGTTGGTGCCATTGATGTAGATGATACCAGTCTCGCTGCCAGGGATCCAGGCGACTTCGTTGATCTCGCTGGCGTTCAAGCCAGACTTGGTGATCTCGCCGGTCTTGAGGTCGATCAAGTTCATGCCCGAGCCTGCGCTGCCATGCTCCTCAAAGGAGTACTGGGAGTACGAGAATAGAGCGACGGAGCCATCGGGACTTGGGTCGGCGGCGCCACGGCGGACGTTGCTGAGGAGTCCTCTATTTCTCTTGTTAGTTGATGCGCAGGAGAATCAATGCAATGATGAGCTTACTCAGGTGTCAAGGCACAGGCGCCGGTAGCAGCCAAAGCTGCGGCAACACTGAGGTAACGAGCCATATTGTATGCGACCAGCTTCGTAAAAGCTCAATTGGACACGGTCGGTGGTCAAGCAAAGCTCCAGAAGGGCATGCCGCTTATTTGTACGACGAACAGCTGAGTAGACCCTGGCCCGACGATATTTACCAGCGGGGTTCACGTTGCATTCGGGACTGGTACCTGGCAGTGACAGCGCTCCCAGTTGGCTGCGCACTCGGTGATGCCATCATGCTGGCCCTGCAATGCGGTAGCTGCTATACCAAACATGTGGGAAGATGGACGCTGTTCGCCATGTCTCCTTCCTCTTCGGGGCTAGAGCTGCGGGCGCACAAACAAGCTCGCCGTCGGTGGGTTCCTAAGAAAGCATGTTTCTGCTCGTCCTATCGCGACTCGGCCCACATGTCCCGCAGTCGTGGCTCAAGCTTGGCGGCCGTGTCCATGCAGCCCTCACGTGAAGCTCACCAAAGCCCCAGCAAAGCTCTCGCCCAGATTAGTGGCGGCCGTGCCAAGTCGCGCCGTCTCCACTGAACCGGTGGTGGCGGATAAAACGGCGCGCCGAAACAGGCAGGTCGATGAAAAGTCCAACACGATTGTCCTCTCTATTCTTACTCATCGATAGCCAGTTGCGGCCTTGCTGTGCCGCTTGTATGCTGCCTCACAAAAGAGAGAGGCTGGACGTGCTGGACTTGCACGGACTGCCTCGGTCTGCTTCGGGCCTGCCGGCGCGCCTGATGTTCTTCTATCTTCCGTGAGCAAATTGGCGATCTGCACCTGCCTTGCCTGGCTTAGATATGCATACTGCATCGATGCAGCTGCTTCTTCGCGTTGGCTGATGGCGCATGTCGTGATGGGTTGATAGCATCCAACGAATGAGCTGGAGGGCCGCCTCGTATCGCACCGTGCAGCCAACATGCTGGTATCTGTGCTTGATAGTACCTTGGTGTCCGCTCCTCACAAGCAGGAATTCCGATCGTCTTTGCAGATTTTCCCCGGTTCCATCTCTTTGCTTTCCAAGGACATGGACCGATATCTACGCGCGTACCAAAGAGGGTCGAACCACGACAATCCGGAAAACGATGTTAGCGCATCCACAGTCTCGGAAGCAATCCACAACGTTGTGATTGCCACGCTTCGTTCAAGGTCGAGTGGTAACTATCGTCCATCATGCTATGTGCAGACCAAGGAGGTTTGGAAGCTTGTTCACATTCTTAGCTCGCGCTTGCCCCGCGTCACCACGTGCCTGGGGCGCTTGCGCGAGCTGACATGAACAACCCTGGAAGTTGGGCGCACGTAATAGCGTCTTCGACATCTCACATCTACCTTTGAGCATTGCTGGGTAGCGCAAACATTTCCAAATCACAGGAAATAGCATCCAGCATGCCGCGATGGTAGCCCACTGGAGGTTCGTCCAACGATAGCAGCTTCCAAGGATGAGATGGTTTGCGACTCTTGTGATTCCTCCGGATGGCTCCAGCGAGTACCAGCATGAACTTCCTGAATCCCCAGAACTACAGAATAGACGAGCTTCGGATGGCTGCTGTTATGGCTTGTATATCAATCTGCTAACAATCGTCATCCTCCAGAAAACAGCAACCACTGACTACAGTCAACCACTAGATTACACTGAGAATCAACTTCCTTTAGTGTTGCATTCGCGATTTCTAAAAGCTCTCCAGAATGCCGGACATCAAGTATTCACAGCCACTGCCCACAGCTTCCGTCCTCCAAAGTTTTACCCCTACCATGCGCTACTACGACACTATGATAAACAGTTTTCAACGCCATCTCGCAATTGAACAAGATATAGTGGCAATGTTGCCAACAGAGCATGCAAGGAAGGTTGCATATGAACAAAAGATGGCCGTACTGGATACAGCCAAAGCAAAGCTACGAGAGCTGGTCGACTTCAGTACTGAGATTATGGAGAAGCAGATTGAGAAACCCAACACAGCGTTGGGCTTATCGGCCGAGAGGGCAAATGAGCAGATACAAAACGGACTAAAAGAAGTGGAAGACGCGATGGCTGAGTTGCGATATCTGATGTGGGAGATGTGAATTGTAAAGAGGAGGGTAAGTACATTTTCCAAGACCTTATGGAACCGACATCGGACGAAGGTTGGCATATCGGTACGTGGGAATGTCGAAGTCTTTTCTTCTGTGCGCGAGGTATGTGGCGGAAGAAGAAACGAGTCAAGAATGACATGCATCTTAAGAGGTTAATCACAAGCTATATTGACCATTATTGAACCGCTCGCTCAAGGAAGTGTGCGACTCCAGACACTCACCATACGCTAACAAGCCGTCGGGCATAATGTAAACATTCTAGCTTACATTCCTGCAATATCTGCTTGGCGACAACTGATTGGCTTACTTTTGGTAGTACAAACGCTTGTTGTACTGTATAGATGCTCCAGAAGGTATTCCCGTAGTTATTCATCACCTACCCGCATCATCATATATCTGTTATGGTAATGACGGATGATGAATCGGTGAAGGCTTGCGCCACTGAGCTATCTCGCCACAAAACTTCTCTTGACGCCGCACAAGCCATGGGAAATGCCAGCGATTTAGCTCAAGAAGATGCGCTAGGGTTACATAAGAACGGGAACATTTCATTTGTTCGTTTGACAAGTTGGAGAGACCCAATTAATTCCCTCATAGATAAAACTTCTCTCGAAGGGCCAGCATGATCACAGTAAAACTTTTGACAGCCACTTTCAGCTCATCCATAGCATCCTCTACGTTTGGTGTTAAAAGATCTTCCTTCTTTAACGTGACCATGACATCCATCACACATGTCCAATCACTCAACTCCTTACTCGCGTCCTTGATTGAACCAGTGAATGCGTGTACAGCTGGAACGAGCACGGACTTTTCAAGCGTTGCTCTTACTTTTTCGATATCTCTCTCCTCTTCTTCCTCCCAAGGTTCTTCGTCCAAGGTTCTTTGCCATTCCAGTATTCTGTTGTGGAGGGAGACGATATCTTGGACAGTGCGGGTGTTGGTGTGAATGCTCGAGATAGGGGGTGTTTCAGCCATAGCGTGGATTGTGATGAGACTGAGTCAAGGGAGATATTACTATAGATGCAGTGTGTTTGCTGTTCCCGCTTGCTGTATCGGAGTACTTGTTTTATGGAGGTCAGTTTTTAGGGTACACAGTGAGCATGACAAAGCCGACGAGGTCAATGACGGTAGTTGCTCGACTCCTAGAATCGTGATTGCCTTGAAAGTGGAGATCCAATGTATGTACTCCGAAATGACTTTTCTTACCCAAAGCTAGCTCCAGGGAGACGTTACTGACCACTTCTGTACACAAAAGCAGGGTCGGAGGATATCGTCCGTACAGTCCAAATCTGGCTCGCAAAGAATACTTCCAGATGCAAACCAAATTTGCTATTCTAGCATTCGAAACCCTTATGGATGACGCCGGCATGCTTTTACCTTTCCAAACCAACGAGTTGGATGCTATAGTCTCCATAGTTTAGAGCAACCCTTCTCTCCTCTCTCGTTAAGGACTCGGATCGTCTAACGCTTTTCTTGCTTCCCTCATCTTTCGCTTAAGTCGTTCTACCTCCGCCTCTAGTACGTTCGTTCTCTTTTCAGCTTGTTCACAACGCAACTGGCTTTGTCGGAGTTGCTCGCGGAGACTCTCTCCGTCGTCGAGCGCGTTGGCGTGCTGCGTCTTTAGTTCATCGTATCGAGCTTGAATGCCGCGATATGCGTTTTGGCCATACGAGTATTCGTCCTTGATTCGACTCACTTCGGCTTTGAAGCTGGTGATTTGTTCTTGAAGCTGATGATTTGTTTGAACTCTTGCCTGGTTAACTTCCAGCGGTCTGTTCTGAGTAGCAATCGCTGCTTTTAGCAAATCGTTTTCTGCCTTACTGGTTTTAGGCTGGGCCTCCATACGTTTTGCCATGACCGGATTCTCTGGGCTAGACGACCTAGAGATGATGATGGGTCGTTGTACCTAGAGATAAGGTCAGCTTAGAATTGAAGCAAGCCATGGCCAGTACGTACTGTGTGACCGTAGTCGCGGCGCTTGATGTTGGCTAAGATAAATTAGTTCTAGTTCCTAGAGATAAGGAAGATCCCGTAACTTACGTGGTGCCAAGTCAGATCTTTCGTCACCTTTGCGCTTTTTAAATACAACATCTTCAGATGTCGAAACAACCGCATTTGGGACTAGAATCAGCGCTGCGTCTAAAGCCGGTCGACTGTCTCTTCTCTGTACGTCCATCTGCAGCTTTGGTGGACTTCCCTTATTCGCAATCCACGCGCACGACTTTGTAAAATCCTGCCAGAAATCTCTGTAGTGGCCAAACCCCCTTAGATGCCCAGCTTCTAAGAGATAATAAAGAATTATGGCCCGTAGTCTGTTGCAAACTGTTTGTTGGCCAACGGTTTGGTCTCCAAGATCACAAAAGGGTTCCACGAAATCGATGTTCTGAAAGCTGACGTGTGGTATCCGATACACGCTCAAGTCCTGCATGATGAGGAAAAATCCAACTAGATTATGCTTCGATCCATGTACAAAGGCGTACACAGTCTGCCTCATGTATGGAAGGTTGCCGTCAAAGATGCCGATGGCAAGTACCATTGGTGAAGCCTCTTGTGGCAAGTTGGCGAGGACCGTTGGGCCAAGAATTTCGCAGTGGCTGAACTCGAGTGTCTCAGATTTTGGTATCTTCTCAAATTGATCAGGTATACTTGAGAGTGCCTTCCTGGTGATCGCTTGCTTATACCAGCTGGATTCTCTCTCATTGTCGATGGTGATGGGGCTTTTGGCGCTGGTACTGTCCATGATGGCGGAGTAGACGCCTTGATATCCAGCAATTTGGGAAATATTCGAGTTCCTAGGAGACTAGATTACGTTAGTATTGTTCTGGTTTCCAATATGTTTTGTTACACGTACTGAAAGTATCGTAGATGCAAGACCAATGTAAGAGGTGTTCCTTCGGTCGCATTCACTAAAGACAGTGAGGCTGCTGAAGGTAAGAGAATATTGTGACTGTGGTAGGATATGTGCCACTATAGATTGTAGGTGATTTGATATGTAAAAAGGTGATTGAGTGAGGTGGACATATGAGCAGAATTATGAAGCAAAGAGTGCCTGTCGGTTACGTGTTATTTGAACAAGCTGGTTATATACTCTGAAGGGCTGAAGACCGTAGGTATAGTGAAGGAGGCTGCCAAATCATAGCCATATATGGTGATAGAAGACGGGATAGAATATCGGTGAGGAATGTTACCATGCAGACCCTGCGTTTGGATACCTAGGTAAGATAGAATGATGCTACGAGTGCTGAGCAGCCAAAGTACAATATAGAGTTTGTCTAATGGAAGTGAAATTGGTTTAATCTTCATTGAAGCTGCTGGTGAGTCTGTAAAGCGACATCGTCACAACCTGGATAGTTGTCTGGCGCCTGCTACGCTTCATGGCCTATGGCTGACTGCGGTACTGGCGTGTTTGTGATAATCAAGGCCGTGTAAGTGATGTGATTGCCAGTTTGCAGCATCTAAGCACCCTTTAAGTTCCTTTTTCGCAAATGGTCGGATACGAAGGGAATATTTAATGGCATCGGAGTTGTTCTTGGACGTCCCTGAGCCATGTTCGTTCCTGCTAAAAACCTGTTATCATCACCTCACTCATCGTCACCGAGAAAACGGATGCCGCCTTCGGAACTGCTGCGGCCTGAGGCTTGGGGTTTGGGGTACGGTGTGATCATAATGGCTTCAGTTGTGTTTCGCTAGGAAGCCTAAGCCATCGTCGTCACCAACGTCAACATCGTCACATACCCTCTCGCACGAAAATCGAGTATGCACCGCTCTCGTCCACGCGTCCGTGATGATCAAGATGCGCTACTATCGGTTGTTTTTCGGTTCGGCGGATTTACTGAACCAATTGACGCCGATCATCTTCCAAACCCCGCCATTCCTCCCCACATTCAGCCAGCAAAGCTTGAGCCGCCCTCCGCACGCTTGACTGGTCTCGTGTCTGCGCCCAGCTTTTAGGCTGAAGTACGGTACAACCCTCCAACCTCGTCGCGCGTTCTCGGTGGGAGATATCACGACAATTGCTGCCGTAAGCATACTAGTGACGTCTTGATCATTCATCATGAAGAAACTATGGCGATCTATAAAGTACCTTGAGAAGGGCGCCGCCTAGTTGGATGACTGACTACCACCCATGAGGTCTATCATGCGGCTAACACTTACAACACTACTCTGCGCTGTTGACGTTGCTGTCGCTGAAGACGGCTCAAAAGGCTGGCTTCGCTACGCGCCAATACCAGACGGGCCAGCAGCGCAGTCAGTACCCTCCACGATCATCGCACTGAACAGCACGAGAGTGAGCCCCGTATTCACTGCTGGTCAAGAGCTTCAAAAAGGTGTTGATGGCATTACTGGAAAGAAACTCAATGTGAGTGCGGTCGCAGACCAGAGTCACTCTGCCATCATTGTCGGAACTAAAGACGCGTACACGGCGGCATTCGGTAACATTGATGAATGCGAGAATCTGGACGCCGATGGCTTTTTCCTCAGCACGACTACCCCAGGCAAAGTCATCATTGTAGGACAGAATGAACGTGGCGCTCTCTACGGCGCATTCGAATATCTTTCTCAGCTCGCGCAAAACAATGTCACGTCCGGCTCCACAGTATTCAACCCACAGGTACCCATTCGATGGACGAATGAATGGGACAACATGGATGGCAGCATCGAGCGCGGTTACGCTGGCCCCTCACTGTTCTTCCGAGACGGTTTCGTGGTAGACAACACTACGCGAGTCGCTGAATATGCCCGCCTACTTGCATCAATCCGCGTCAATGGCGCAATCATCAATAACGTCAACGCGAACGCCACGTTGCTCAATGACCGCAACGTAGAGGGTCTTGGTAGGCTTGCTGATGCGATGAGACCATATGGTAAGTTGTGACCACACGAAATGCATGGGAGACATCAACTAACTTGATACTTCCACACCTGTAGGAGTACAACTTGGCATATCGCTCAACTTCGCCTCTCCAAACGCTACACTAGGGTCATTCGATCCGCTAGACCCCCGAGTGGACGCATGGTGGGCGAACATCACTAACCAGATCTATTCCAAAGTTCCGGACATGGCAGGTTACCTCGTCAAAGCCAACAGTGAGGGTCAACCGGGACCGTTGACGTACAATCGAACACTCGCGGATGGCGCCAACATGTTCGCAAGAGCAGCGAAGCCGCATGGTGGCGTGGTTATGTTCCGTGCTTTCGTATACGACAACCACATCAACGAAACGAACTGGTACAATGACAGGGCGAATGCGCAGCTGGAATTCTTTCAACATCTTGACGGAAAGTTTGATGACAACGTCGTTGTTCAGATTAAATTCGGGCCCGTATGTTTATATGTACGCTCTTCACGAAAGACGTAGACTAACGCACGCCTACCTTTGTAGATTGATTTCCAGGTCCGCGAACCAGCATCGCCATTATTCGGATCCCTGCGCCAAACGAGCACTGCCATCGAACTCCAGATCACACCCGAATACCTTGGTCAAAACTGTCATCTGGTTTACCTAGCACCACAATGGAAAGAGATACTAGAGTTTGACATGAGGTCTGAGAACCAGTCATCCAAGGTCAAAGACATCATCACCGGCGAGCGTTTCAAGCGGCCTTTGGGAGGCTACGCAGGTGTGACAGGAGTGGGATCAAACGCGACGTGGCTGGGCTCACATCTAGCAATGTCTAACTTGTATGCTTATGGACGACTAGCCTGGGACGCCTCGGTGGACTCAGAGATGATCCTCCAAGACTGGATCCGACTGACGTTTGGTTTCGATGAGGATGTTCTTGACACTCTTACAGACATGTCCATGAGGTCGTGGCCCGCATACGAAAATTACAGCGGCAACCTCGGAATCCAGACACTGACAGACATCCTGTACACACACTTCGGTCCCAATCCTGCCTCGCAGGATGGCAACGGATGGGGCCAATGGACGCGCGCCGATGCATTCAGTATCGGCATGGACAGAACTGTAAAGAATGGCACTGGTAACGCTGGACAATACCCGCCGGAGGTCGCCCAGATCTATGAGAATATAGAGTCGACGCCAGATAACTTGCTGCTCTGGTTCCACCACGTACCATATACACAGCGATTGAAGTCTAACAAGACTGTCATTCAACATTTCTACGATGCGCATTATGAAGGTGCTGCTACCGCACAAGAATTTGTCGGACAGTGGGAATCCTTGAAGGGTAAAATCGACGATGAGCGATACGAACATGTGTTGTTCAGGCAGATCTTCCAGGCTGGTCATTCCATTGTGTGGCGCGATGCGATCAATGAGTTCTACCACAATCTTTCGCAAATACCGGATGAGACCAAGCGTGTTGGCAACCATCCATACCGGATTGAGGCGGAAGATATGATGCTCGACGGTTTCAAGACATATGCCGTAAGCCCCTTTGAGACGGCTTCCGGTTACACGGCTATCGTCACCACGTCAAACTCGACGACGGGCATCGCGACAGCCAACGTCACGTTCGCATCGGGAACATACGACATCGCTGTCAACTATTATGATTTGATTGGGGGTAAAGCAAAATACGAACTGAAACTTGGCGATCGTACTGTGGGAGTGTGGACAGGGGATCTCGAAGATAAACTGGGGCACGCGCCATCTATTTACCTAGACGGGCACTCAGCGACACGCATAACGTTCAGAGATGTCGAGGTTCGGCAAGGGGACCAAGTGCGGCTCACAGGCCAAGCGGATGGCATCGAGCCCGCACCGATCGATTACCTCTCTTTCTTGCCACCTGGCATCGTCGATTGAATCATTGTGCGTAGAAAGTATGTACAAAAAAGCAAAGCGATGCGAAATTGATGTTCTCGCATTCGGAGGCGCGACAATCTAACGTTCCACTGCCCAGTCGGCTTCATTTCCACGGCAATCCACAGCCGGGATCCCCTGCAGGTCTCCCGCAGTGCCTAATCCACATTAGTCAATTGTCTCCTTTTCTGCCAGCCATGGCAACACACCACAGTTCAACCGTTGGTGGCTTTCAGACGGGAAATCTTATACTACGTTCCCGCAATTTGAGATTCGTCTCTTGCATTAGCCACTGATCTGGGGATGCAAAGCCCAGCGACA